TAAATAGAGGCGCGAGCCTTCGACTCGTCGCCATTTACCACTCATGAGTTCTAGCGTTCACATGATCTTGGCTCTCCCGTAACCCCAATACTACAGTACTAACAATGTTAAAAGTATCAACCAAGACAATCCTGTTTTCAAAATTTTTCAAAAATAATCAATCTACAAATAAAATTGTTTAAGACAGCATTTGAACATTTAACAATCAATCTAAAGATTGGTTAAGAGTTTGGTTTAAAGATTGGTTAAAAAATTAAGTCTGAACCAACAGCTTAAAAATACTCAAAAACGAAAGGAACCAAATATGTCATTAAAATAAAGGTAGTTATTCAGTCTTAGGTCAGAGCTTATAAAAACTACTTTTTCATGAAAACTATGAAAAAGTTGCATGAACAATGATTAACTTAAATGTCATAGAAAAAACATACAGGGATGGCCAAATCAAGAAACAAAAGGAAGGAATGTTTTTTTTTTCGAATATACCAATCTAAAATAGAAATGATGTGCACATCCATATCTTAAAACCAAAATTAAACTGAAATAAACGAAAAAAATCAACAAAATTACAGTATATTATCAGTCTTGTTTCAGACTCACAGAAAAACACGCATACATTAAATTTTCGTGGGCCATCCAGAAAATCCATGAAAGCGGAAATTCAGTTTATGCAGAAACGCATTCTAAAATCCTCTAAGGAATAGAAACGTGATTTTCTCTTCATATACGGTTGCTCCGTAGAAGGAGTGATAGATTTTTATTACTATAACGTCTGAAAATATACGAATAGCATCAAAATGTGAATTTTGAAATAGCTTACATGAAATGTGAGGACTTGTACAGTTGGTGCCAAACGTTCTGACTTTATCGTAAATAGTAGTAAAATTCACAAAAAAAAACCTAAGCTTGCGCTAACGTGGAAGCAGATGATACAGGTTTAATTTTCAGTCAGTGTGCTTTAAATTGGGGAATATAGTAGGCCTTGCCCATAGTGAGCGTAGGAGAACACAGTGGTCAGGGGAACGACATAATAAAGCCAAAAGCGGTCTGCTAAAAGGAGACAAAGCTCAATTCAATCGACTTCATGGACTCAAAATCGTGGGTAGTGCTTTATAACACATACAAGAACAACTTTTTCTTGACTTCTCATTTTCCATCCCCCAAAGGCCCTCTTTTTCATCACACATATGCCTAATTGCTGAAAATATTAGAAATCAGGCCCTATAACAGGTAAATAACGTAACGTAAGACGTAACGTAAGACGTAACGTAAGACGTAACGTAAGACGTAACGTAAGACGTAACGTAAGACGTAACGTAAGACGTAACGTAAGACGTAACGTACGACGTAACGTAAGACGTAACGTAAGACGTAACGTACGACGTAACGTAAGACGTAACGTAAGACGTAACGTAATTACAGGTAATTACAGGTAATTAATGCAACAGGTGGGGGCCCTCATGAACCACTTTTTGGGGGCCACGGACCCCCTCCCTCCCCTTGGGGTCCCTTATATATAGACGTAAATAGTGTCTAATCATAAAATTACGTCGTCACGAAATTACAGGTAATAACAGGTAATTACAGGTAATTAATGCAACAGGTGGGGGCCCATGAACCACTTTTTTGGGGCCACGGACCCCCTCTCCCTCCTTGGGGCCCCTTCTATATAGACGTAAATAGTTAATCATAATAATGTCGTCTAATTATAATTATAATTACGTCGTACAGGTAATTACAGGTAATTACAGGTAATTACAGGTAATTACAGGTAATAACAGGTAATTACAGGTAATTACAGGTAATTGAAGGTAATTACAGGTAATTACAGGTAATTACAGGTAATTACAGGTAATTACAGGTAATTACAGGTAGTTAATGCAACAGGTTGGGGCCCATGAACCACTTTTGAGGGGCCACGGACGCCCCTTTTCCTTGGGGCCCCTTATATACAGATGTAAACAGTGTCTAATCATAATTACGTCGTTAGGTAATTACAGGTAATTACATGTAATTACATGTAATTACAGGTAATTACAGGTAATTACAGGTAATTACATGTAATTACAGGTAATTACATGTAATTACAGGTAATTAATGCAACAGGTGGGGGCCCATGAACCACTTTTTTGGGGCCACGGACCCCCTCCCTCCCCTTGGGGCCTCATATTTTCTTGTTTGACATCTTAGCCTTATCTCAGCTTCATATATATTAAAGTAGGTGTTGTACAAGCAGTGATACTGGAAGTATCATCTGCTAAAAATATGCTCTCAATTTGAACACTGAGCAGAGCTCTACAATAACCTTTTTATAATTGTAACTTATATTTGACAACCAAAGTACTGACTAAGTTACCACAGGACCCACCTCATTACAATAGTAAATATGCATTGTTGTTCTTACAGCAGTTATTATTTCAACCGGCTCTAGAGAGACACCTGATGATTATGTGGCACAATTTGTCCTCTATCTTTCAATTTTACTTTACATAATTTTTTTCTGACAAAATGATTTATTTGGTCAAAAAATCATTTAGAGATCGAAAATTTTGTTCAAAATGAGAGAAAATTCCGTAAAGTCGGAATCGTTATAAGAAGGCTTATTGACATTAAAAACAAAGGAATATCCAAGAGACAAGTAAAAAGCGATGAGAGCGGGATTCCTTTTATGCAAGTTTGATATCAAAAGGTTTTACTGTATTTTAAGTAAACAACAGCTACACCAAAAATATTCAAAAAGGGACACTTAAGCACTTCTTAATCAATTAATTTTTCACCTCGAAGTTTGGGCAAAATCGAGTGTTTTAGAGGCATTAAATTCTTGTGGCCTAGCGATGCAATCATATTTGAATAAGCTGCTTGGTAAGACTCTTGACCTCGGTGTTTTAGCATGGCTTGTCGAACACTTTCATAAACCACAGGCTTCACACATTCCTGCCAATTTTTTATGAAAAAATTGTACAAGTCCTTCGATATGACAATGTTTCAGAGCTTGAAAGTATCCTTTACATATGCTTCAAAGTCAGTTTCACTAAAAGGTCCTGATTTTGGTGAAATTGGAAA